TTTAGTCAGTCGTGCAATGTTCGCTAAAAGCATCCAAAAGTAACAATCTAAATATTAGGTTTGAAATAACGTGAAATTTTGCTAAAGCTGCACTTGTCACGCTCGTTAGTTTGTATGCGCGCGACGATGAACAAACGCGTCATAATCAGACTTCGTACGAGCCTAGTGTGTTGTAATCTGATAGAATATCACCCGCACCACAATCCTTGTAAATGTTCCATTTTTACAACGACTTAAACGGTACATGTTTTCGATTGCTTAACAAATTAAACAACATGTTCATTTTCACATCAGTCACAATCATCTATTGTCCATCATAAAATACTTATATTGGGTAAATATTTGTACTATGTAGATAAGCTGACGTCACATGACATGTAGTAAATCATTTTATTTATTAGTGTACTTTCACATATTTGCACAATCCGAAATACCAAGTGTTATTGGCTGCTTTCACGGGTATCATGTTTTATGTGTTTTATATTTTTATAAGATCAGATTCAAATCTTAGTCAGAACACTTATACAATAAAAAATGTTTTGTTTTTTTTCTAAATGATTTAAATTATTATTAAACGTTTTTTATATTCCACTGTAGAAACATATTTGGTTGGATATGCATTTGTTGACCTTTGTTTAATACGCCAGAAGTTAGAATACGTCTGGTTGCCGTTGGAATAGTGTTGAATATAGAATACAGACGTATTTGTTTTGTACATCAGAGTATCAGTGTGAACACACAAACATGAGGTAATTGCCAATTATCCAAGCTTACATAATTCAACATTTGGTGGATTAGGTACTACCGTATCTGATGTAATGTGCGGTTCGTTATGAATTAATTAATAGAACACACAAATGCGATCTTAAATTGCGTGCATTTTAACAACCACAAAATGATTCCTTAACTCAAAGTTTGGAACTGAAATAAATATTAAATCTCATTTACACTTTATTTACTGATTTAGTCAGTGGCTTCAGGTTTGTCTCGAAATGCGTCAATGATAACACACTTTCAAGTTGCTTTCTCACCATGCAGAATATCATTCCCCCTAAACGAGAAATGTATTCAAATAATGTTATTTTAGCTAAAATGATATAAACATACAACATTTCAACACTACTCCGCTCATTTTATTTTTAGGGTACTGGAGGGTTTAATTTTTTAGATAAACATATCTACAAATTAAAACTCAGTGAGTATATATTGTTTTCAAATCTAGCCCAATTAAGGAAATCCGCGAATTTTATTTTACAAAGCTAATTTTGTCATCACTCATTTACAATTTCAATACTTTATGGTATATACAATTGGCCAGTGGGTGGCACCTCAGTGATTTGCAGTGTATGAATACAACTTTAAAATAGTCATTTGCACTTATATTTATTTATTAGCATTATCACCCAAAATAGGCTAACCGGATATGATTGTTGGGAAATCGATTAATACCTAAATCAAAGACAAACATAAGACGAAACACTTGCCTTGTTTCAACGATAATTAATTACATATAATTTGTTTTAAATATAGTTATAAATTATAATTTCTGTTTTCCGGCTGATTTAATTGATTTTTCGATGTGTGGTCTTCTCGACTGAATAAATTGTACTATTTGTTAATACTGCAGAGAGAAACTGTTTTCTTAAGTCACATACTTTGCTACCTTGTAAGATTGATTTTATCAGATCAGGCTGACCCTATTTAGATTCTCGCATATTCGACAGTGCATGCATCCTATCAAGTATTTAGTTTACGTGCCTTCACTCCGGTGATGAAGGATAAGGCGACGTAAAGTTCAGCCATTTTCATCAGCTGCCCGCTTGTTATTCGCAGCCGTAAACACGCCAAATATTTCGGCACCTTCGAGACGTGAGCGGCTGTTAATACTTTTCATTTCTCTGACTTTCCACTGTCAGTTCGCATATACTAGGGAGGAACGAACGTTTGATCGTTGCTAATTCAATGACATGGAAGATAATGTGAATGATGTAGAATTTTGTTGTTATATCAGTACCTTTATACAGCATAGCTATGTACGTTGTAACCTTTCATCCGCTAAACTATTTGTAAACAAAGTATGGGATGAAACGACATTTAATAAATAAACAAACAAACAGGCTAACACCATTTTTTTTACATGAAACACTGTGTAACAAACATAACTTCATTATTGTTCCAATCATTTTCTTTTTTTGTATTTATACAAATCCTTTCACTAAGTTTGAACACAATGAACATTTATTTCATTCCATATATTCAATAATGATGTCGGGATCTTTCTGAATCGTGACAAAAAGTTGGCTCGGCGTTCCCTCATGTTGTCCTGGTATTTGGACGAGTGGAGTTCATCGAGAAAATGGCGCAAATGTATTTAAAACCATCACACGCATATTGCTTGCATCAATGGAATATTAACAACAATCGCAGAAATGTGCGAAGACGTCTGTCGATATCCGGGCCGGAAATATCAAAAATATTGTTATGATTTGAATTATTACGTTAGCTGTACTAACCATATCATAATTTCCGTCACGTAACAACATGGCGGTAATTTGAGCTTCATAAAAATTAAATGCAATTGGGAAAATATTTGCATTATGGCGATAAATCTAAATATGTCATGTTGCACTGAGTATAAGGGGTGAGTCATTGTTATTATTGGGTGGGTAAATTCTCCCCCTTTCCCCTTCATTGTGCAGTGAATATATTACCCTGAGAGAGGTTTGTGTAGATCATGTGCCTTTTCCTAATTTTATCTCTCCATTGTGCCTTAATTGCGTACCGAACACATAGCAGTTTGGTCGTAGTCTCGTGGTTAAGGCTGCATAGCTTAATACACTGTTGGTGCAATTGAAAAAAACACAGCTGATGACATTTTGCAGGTCTTTGTCTATATCAGTCATTGAAATCGAACACGATTATATTCATGTGTGTACAGCTATTGTTTGTAATAAGATAAACTGCAAGCAAATGCGTAAACAAAGCAGCTGGGTCAATTGTTAAAATCCTCTAGACTGTACAATGCGGCGCAATAAAACACACACTTTGCACTAAGCGTGATAAATGTAAACATTTAACTTGTATTCAGAGTGGTATTGACCTCAATGCCTCGGTCAATAATCTAACCCTGAAGTCAACAAACACGACTGTTCTTTGCATTATATATTTACCCCCCCCCCCCCACTGAGGCATGCTTCACACAACTGGAAGACAAGATGTTTACATCACATGTCAAAGCCGGTAAGATGACCTGGCATAGCTACCACTGCAGGGATCGAAATCGTATACTGATGACTTGCCCCACAATTAGATCATGTTATTAGATGTTTCTATAAATGTAATAGTAGTGTAACTATTGCAAGTGTGTGTCTGTTGACAGATATTTGGTATATGTAATACATTGCATGGAATGAGGACAGATTACAACACAGGTTGAACACAATTTTCATAATTATCATAATCTGTTTTAAGGTGTAGTGGTAAGTTGTTCCTGACATACTGTGCCCACGGAATAAATAAATCACACAATATTTTGAATTTTTCGCAGGTTATGTTCATAATTCCGGACAGATCGACTTTCTATAATAACTGTGTGCGTGACTAATCACGTAAATTTTGTTTGAATTACTGTTTTTCTAAGAAAAATACGAGCCTCTTACCACTGATACGATTTTCTGCAACATCTTCATGAGCAATTAATCACAGATAAGGTACCATAAAAACATTTTGGAAGAACCCAGCCAAAAGAGCACACATGAGCGAAAGGTCAAATTTAGTCACATGTCACAAAATAACACCTGCAAATTTATTTTAGTTTTTGTTCATAACTGTTGATTAAGACTTGCAGAAAATGTGAAAATGTGACTATTTGTTTGAGAACAAAATTATAAAAAGTACTTATATATTTAAAAAATGCAGCACATGAATTTAGGCGGGAAAAATATACAATTGTCAATCTAGGAGAATTGTGCATTATCGTTTGAAGAAAAACATCAGTTTTGATATGTTGATAGTTATCATTTACCCAAACAAATTAATAGTAAAGGGAAGAACTAAATAAAAATGCGTCTTTCTAAAATGTACTCTTTATTTTAAAACGATCAGTTACAAATTTATAATAACCACACAAACTATTCACCGCGTGGGGATACTCTATCCGTGTGGGACATACCGGTATTCACACATGGCGGGCAAGCGAATAAGTTGACCATGGAAAATATATCCCATAGAAAACAAGAATATGCTCAGATCTACTGAGAAAAAGCAACACGTTTTATAACACTTACAATTAGCGCTAACCAAAAAATGTGTATAGCCAAATGTCATCTTCACTGTGAAATATAAGTTTGAAAACAAGTGACCTTAAATATGATTCTCATCCTAGTAGTCGTACCGCGCTTTAAGTAAGTCATGTTTTCGAAAGAAGACCTATGCATGGTATTTGTGCACTCACGCCGATACATTCCCTATACGAGTGGGGTGTTCCCTTCTTAAAGAGACGATAATATGGTGGCCATATTTCTTTCACAAAATTTACCGTCGACAGATGTTAACAACATTATTTACGGTTTATTGCTTTCAAGTAATTTGAGACTCTTCTAAAGATGGGCAGGTTGAGCAATACCCGATGATGATACAGCCGCTAGTCGCGATGTCGCCGAGAGATCTGAATACTGATCATACCGTTGTATGGCGGCATTATTATTAAACATGCATTGGATATAACGTCTGTTCGGCAGTTCTAAGTTCCACTGCACCCAATATTGAAAACTGATACAGTGGCAACAATGCACAGGTCCGAACGAAGCATACTCGTCGGACTTGACGAGATTCATTTGGATCTGATTTTGTTCGGTAGTTACGAAGCATACAAATTGAAAACAATATCGAAGATAAAAATTGCGGTCTATACTGCAAGCCAGTGCATTGCTTGCCACAGCAAGGTAATGTCTATGTAACTATATTTGTAGTAGAATCTCAACCTGTGAGTAAATACTTACCGTTAACCGTTAGACAGCAGAGAATGCAAACGGCAACTGTCACAATCCTAGCAACATTCCTTATGTATTCTGTCGCCATTGTTCACACTAGTGGTCAGTTGAAATCATACGTTACCATGACAACATCACGGTTATTTCACATATTGCAAAGTAGTCACCGGGGTATTCTTCTGGAGAGCAACTAGTAGTTGCGCAATGCACTCTTTATGAGAAAGGATCGATTGTCGACACGTGATCATCTGGCTCGCTGGATCATTCCATTTATATTTGGAGGGGACAGGAGTTGCTCATCATAAAAGTGCGACATGGATGTACATCGTTGTGAGTTATTATTGTTGTAACGAAATAAACCCAACAAATATGACATTGATTATTACTACTTGATATACCCCTGATTTGTAAATTCAGCAACTTCACAACTTGTGTTGCAGCTGACCATATACGTTTGATTTTCAGATAGACGCATTACGTAACATACGAATTACTTTATATATATGTTTCTTTAAGTTGCGGGAACAACAGTTTCGACTCCAATGTCAAATCTTTGTCATTGCTCAAATTTGGACAATATGTTACGTCATTACCATACCTCATCAAATGATAGAATATTATTATGCATCTGTCACCTTAACGCCATAAGTTACAGCGTGCTGTAATTTTGCGGTATTGCACTGGATATTTTAATCCTACCATATTAGGAAACGCGAATCCCAAATATGGAACGATTGCGTGCGTAAGCGTCCTCTAATACAAACACAAACATGGCTGCCCACAGAGTTCGATCGGATCCTACACAAAGAAGTTCGCCAAATCTGTTCTAAACTATTCGGCATTCCCAAGATGTATTCCTGGGAGGAAAAGATGTATAATAATAGGTTATTACGAGGATACTGCAAAATATGGTCTCAGACAGTACGCGGTCGCACCGACCTCCGCTGCACTTCGGTCGATACTCCCGCTGTACTGTCTTCGTGCATACTTTGCAGTGTCCTCGTAATAACCTCATTCTATTCTATTGTATTCAATCACATGCTGACGATATCAATAATGACCCCTTCACAGTGCCATATTTATTCTGAGGCGATTCTGCATTTGATAAGTCAGAATGCTCGCCTATTGACTCGTTCTGTTTATGTGAGATTCGACACCCGTTAAGAATAGTCTTTTTTGTCTGTAGGTATCCCACAGCCTTTCAAATTATAGTGTTAAATATCATGGCATAGGCTACGTGCATATGGCACATTCTTATGTAGTATGTTACACGAGAGTGTCTTCATTGAGTGCGTACTGTTTCCTCGTGAAACTCAAATCTCGTCCCGGGGTTACTATTAAACCAGAGTACTAACTACATTAGTACCTGCAGTGAACCCCTATTCCTTTCCAGACAAATACGTAAACGGATATGCGGACTAGATTGTTTATTCACTTGTATTGTATAGTGCTAATCAATTTCCTACCAGTAATAATGGTTGTTGAAGGACATATTTTGGCGGATCCTCAAGGATTATTTTCACTGATAGATGCTGAACATAGACCTTTTCCAGACTAAAGGCTGAAATAAAACAAATCCATTTGGGAGAAAACTCTTTTGGAAGTATCTATAGCGGACGGGGCCTCATTACCTAAATACCCAACCCAGAGTACCATATTTTGAGTTCATATCATCACTATAATGTATCTATGCGAGAGTATAAATATCAATATCTTCAATGTCTTTATTCCATTTGTGTTTACTTACATGACGATAGACTAATACAAATTTTGAAATGCCACATTGAGATCAATTTCACAAAGTTGTATATTTCAGTGAGGTCGTTTTGATTGTGTGATGCTACTGTTTAAGTTTTAATTTTGAAAACTAGTTATGTCATTTCTGTCAAAATTCTTAGTTAAAGACTCGTTATTTGTATTCGAAGACCTAGTTTTAAAGGTTTTCATTATAGCGTAAATAAGGAATCTATATCTTATGTGGTCGATAAACTATTTGATTCCTTGCCGATATAATCGTTCGATTTTTCTGAAAATGTTTGATTGGCACATAAACACGACTGCTTCATGAACTGCAAAATAGGCAATCACACTTAAAATATGTGAACTCAAGTAATTGCGATTCTGAAACATAATAATTTCTACTCCTTCGAAAGCAGGGAAAGCGTATTCCTTGAAGTGGCCTCGAAAACGTGAATTGCTCTACATTCTATCATGCAGGGTGAACAGCTGTTGTACTATAGTAAATAGAATCCATGTATCAAATAGACACTTATTAAATGGGTATAAATATAACAATTTGGAATATGTAGACAATAATAAATACGACAATTAAACATAAATACGGTTTGCCCTTTATCTGCCAGTTTGTAACGTAACTATATATTACAGCTGCCTCTTTGCCTTGTCCCCAGTTTTTGGCAGAGGATGATCGATTGTTTTCCCGATGAAGCGTAATCTTGTGTCAGATTGTATTGTCGATTGTATGATGGCACACTAAACATTTTATCATTAAATAATAAGTAGAACAATCTCTGGAATAATCTCAATTTGAGTGGATGACCTCGATTCCTAAAGTTTCTTTTTCCTAATTGAAACATACGAGATTGTATTTAAGTCTCAGTAAATGTCCAGCATCCAATCATTACGACATTCTAACAGTATTATATGATAGGAATTACGAAAAAGCCTAGACTGGCGCAGTCTGTATTTTATTTGAACTACAAAAACAAATTAATCGTCCCGACTGCGCCAGTCTAGAAAAAACCCTACATAATTTCAATACGTTACAGATGTTCACGTAATATATTAATAGTTATTAGCAATTCTATTTATTCAGACGTCAAATATTGTTCGATGATGGTATGCAACACACTGGAAACTGACAAATCAGGCTAATTTCTTTCTACTATATATTGTCGGGATTTTTTTTATAAACAGCAAAGTTTAAAAGGCTTTAAGCGTTTTATTATGTGTATCCACTTTCTTAGTCCGAAGTAAGATTAACTGTCACGCAGAAGTAATATGGCGCAGATTACGACGCGTTTGAGCTTCTGTTGCAATTTGAAACCTATTCTTAATTGTAACTTGTGTGGCAACAAGATGAGTGATAACCACGTCTGAGTGCATATGAAATGAATGAAACCACATGTTTCTGTTCGCGATTACTCACATGTCAAGTATTCTCACCGAGGTCGAACACGTAGTCAGTGTTATTCATACAACCCTCACGTTTCTCGTTCACCTTATACTGTGTCAATGAGATAATCGCTGTTTTTTCCAGGATAATTCATAGTATTTTTTAAGGTTTTATACCACATATATTTTGTTACATAGCCACGATTGTAATTCATTTTACATCCACACAACTGTTTTGCAGTGGAGGTCCGTCACAAAAACCTTTCCTATAAATGGCGCCCTCTAGTGCCGAAGTGCTTCAATGGATGAAACGTAACGTAAATGTGTGCGACGAATGCCGTTCAAATCGTCTATATCTTTTTATTTGTCAATGAAGATTAGGCTTTAAAAAGATTTTGCTATATTTGAAATTTGAACGAAAGTACAACTAAAAACAGTTTTCTTCCATTTTGACGCCGCGTTATCGGAGGGCGCTTTATTACTAGAGGGCGCGACGTACATAAATGATGTATTCCATAATCAAAATAGTTGATACACTTAATCAAACGATGATTTTAACATACATGGTTTCCATGTGTAGAAAACTGTGTACGCTTTTAAATTGCATGCTAATTTGTCATATTTGATTTTGCTATTCACACACTGCCATGATATTTTATTCTTAGACTATTGAAAAAAAAACACCAAAAAATAAACAAGAGACTGTATGCAAGTCTACATTGTATACGAAAATGATAGCCATGTTCAATGCCGATCGTACTTTTGTATAATGCGTAATCTGTCAGCATACCGTGACATCCAACATAAATATAAACGATATCCAGTAAGGTAGATGACGTTTAATTCTAATGAATATACTTTTAAGTAACATTTCACAATTGACTAAATACGTATGATTATCTTATCTTAGAAGCAGTGTCGTCGTGACATAACTCTTGTTTCCACGGTAACCTGTTCACAGTTGTGCGTAAAATTATATATTAATGATTTAAATCGTGCTTTTTACATACTGAGCGATTGTGAAGTACCTCTATTTTATTTATATGCAACAACGAAACAGATCAAGTAACATGTTTCAGGACAGACGAAATGGCAAACATGGAATCTATTTAGATTATGAATACATCATTAATAAATATATAACTCGACACTGTTCTATTCACATACCAAATTACGTAACTTATAGTACGGAAATGGTAAATACAGAAATATATTCAATACAATTACTAGACAATACTGACACACATGTAAATTTACATTTACATCTAGTAATTGAATACATATATCATGTAAATCATTTATATTGAATGCGAGTAATACAGTAAATCGTTCACGTTGTGGTCTTTTTCTTAACATGCAATTATTCATCACTAATATCTACCAATTATTATGTTTAATAAATACCCCACGTAAAATGTTCGATATAAAAATCAATCGATTTAGTTATGCGGGCACATTGAATGAACAGTGGAAGTAAGTCAATTTAAATAAATTGAATATATTATGATTGAGCCGAGACCACATGGCGAGCATATAGTGCGCCAAATATATGGTTGGTCAACGAGTGTTTTTGAACTACATTAAAAATATATAAAACGTACCTGTTAGGTAGAATATTAAAAACACAATAAAAAACAAGCGATTTATAACATTTGCAAGTATCTGGTATTCGCCAAATTCATCAATGTCCATTGGTCGAGAGGAGTCGTGACCTTGGCTTTGAAATAACTTCCTGTGTTGGCCAATGATGACGTCAAGTCTTCGAATGACGTCAATCAAGAATCGCGAGTTCCTCGATATTGCGTCATCGCATTGCTTCAAACCCGGCGAATGCGTACGGGGGCTTTGTTGAGATGCCGATCGTGTTCGTCCAATTATTTTAATCTCGTCGATTTCGTTCGTTTCGAAGACGAAATTTTCGAACGAATTTCGGTGCGCCCTCAGCGAGGCAGAGATGGTATTTGGAGAAATGTTACTGTTTCTGCGTTCGAGCCTCGGCTTGGTTTTCACGAAGACAGCTTTCGCCAAATGGTCGATGAAGATAAGTTTCACGAATGAGGAAACATTGCCAGTTTTATGGTACAGCGACAACAAGGCAGCAGAGATGACGATGGCGCTGACAACACTGGCCATATTCAGTAAGAGATATAGTGATAGACCGGGTACGTTTTCTGACGTTGCCGGCATGATATCAGCAACGAGGAGGTTGAATACAAAAAGAGTCAGGAGGATGGATACACCCATTGTGATGCGGTCAGCTGAGTTAGGCGGGAGAAAAAATACAGTGACGGTCAGAAGCGAGAACAGAACGCACGGCAAAATAAGGTTAATAACGTAATAAAGAGGTTTGCGTCGCATAAACAAAGTAAAGGTCACGTAAGAATACGTGCCAGGAAACACAATGAAGTCCGCCGTGTACCGAGTCGCACTCGATCCGTCTATACTCCATTCCGTATTACGTAGGAAACCTTCTTGCTGTATAGAATCGAACGTGACGTAGTAATCGAGTTGTTGTACGGTGTGTACCCACGTTCCAACTGCCATGTCACATGACTGCACATCAAACGGGAAATCAACAATGTCCATTTTGCAGGGTATCTCATAAATATGCGCAGAACACACCGTTATATTACCGTCGTATTGAACCAACGTAGTCATTGAGTCTGCTACAACTGTTGGAAAATTCACGTGCTCTTCACTGGCACTACAAATATGAGAACACAAACAGATCATATGAATATACAAGGACACCATATAAACATTCATGCTTACACCTAGTTTTTAATCCATAAGAAACGTGCTCGTTTTTTTCAATTCAGTGCAAGCGCATCTATTATCAAATTTCTCAAATTATCTCAAGAGCTAAATCAATGGAATAGAACATTTGGTGTACTTTTTAAAAACCTAATATAACATGTAATAACGTAAATAATCCATCGGGTTATCACGTTTTTCTCGCAATAACATGTTAGCGGTTTCTTCTCTGGACAAGAACAGAATATTTGCTTTTGGGGCAGATTATTTGCAAAGGAGCTCAACACTAAACACAAAGGGGAATTTATTGGCTTAAAGTAGAACTTAGATCGTGTTATAATCCAAATTCCTCTTGGAACAGTTGTAATCAAACATTTTCAAATGACATCGCGTGGACGTCACGGAGTCGATAACAGTCAGGCTATCATTAGGTTGTCATCAATAATTCTCGTAATAGTAGTTTATAAATAAATCAATAATTCTCAGTTTTCATATATTTCAGTTTTTTTTATATGGGTCATAATGTTTGTTAAATATTTCATTTCAATTTTTACTAGTTTGTGTCCATTTTTGTTACATATTTATACCAATTTTTGACCATCATTATTGAAACTGTTCTGTAAACCTTCCTTTGTTTTTACACAAGGTCATCAACATGTAACAAATAAAAACAGGGGTAAAACGTGTTGCAAATTTATATCTAACAAACAAATTGATTTCTAAGCTGGCTACTATAACACATACCCCTCACACGAAAGCTTAGATATATACGAATACGGTAATTGATATGTCCTACCAATGTTTGCAATAGGAATTATCTGGCGGCTAATTTGCTACTGTATTTTTAATTACCTGGACCATTGAAAACACCGTTTTAAACACTAGCTAGCGCTGTGTTGGCGGAACTGTGACCCACCTAACTGATAACAATCTCCCAATAACGCTAAGAACATGCGAATTACACAGGACGTTGGCAACACATAGACCAGATGATCGTGTTTCGGTTATACTTTACCTGCAGTTTTTTTTAGCTACGATCAAATAACTATAGTTATTTGCTTGATAACTTGTAATACAATATAATACAATCCTTCACGCGACCTGCTATCAAAGACATTTGTACGTTTTTGTTTTGTAGTTAATGTATTTATCAAATATTGTCAAATCATTTTGTGTGTTGTATAGCCAGGTGGGAACCTGTCCTGACATTCGTTCCTCATAAAGTAACATCAGCATACATGTGTAAACTGCTATTTAATACAGATGTAGATAGTTTGCTAGACAACTTGAAGAGTGTATTCTCAATAATTACTGGTAGTATTGTTATATATATTATATATTTTTACTCAATTGATACAGACTGTAAATACATTATTATTTTATTTGTGATTTTGTCCTTGCCTAGTGATTTTTTTTAATTGTTCGATTACCTTTAGTGTTCTCTACTGTTGTAATCGTTTTTTAGATGGATATTAACCTGTTGTTTATATTTCCATTTTCACGCCCCATGATCAAATCTGAAACAAATCTTATCAAATAACAATGTGCTATCATTCCTAACGCTGTTATTATCAGCACACATACAGATCACTTGGCAGTGAAACCTGTAGTTCGTCTGTTAACATAGTTTGGCCATGTTAGAGTAATATCATGCACAATTTATTCAATCACCCCTTTTCTACTCCCACACCACTGGCAGGAAAATAATTCTCCAGTGGCTTCCATACATGTCAGTGAACTCCAATTCTTGAATGTTAAAACTATTCGAACAAATTTGATGGTCGAATAATGTTATTAATATATACATAGACATATACACATGCTTCTGTTTCTTTCGAACTTATTGTGAACCATATTGAATACTTCTTGAAGCTGTGTTTATTATTTTCCAGGTGTGACTGAATAGAACAGAAATCACATAATCTTCAAAAATGTAGAGATAAATGTTCTGATTAATCTATCAATAGTCGCTAGATAAACATCGGAGTATTTATTTAATCAAGGTCAACGTTCACTATAGTAATATGCCAGTCAATAATATCAATCAGAAGGGTTACTTATCTTCTCGTGGACGCCTCAGCTACCTTATTCCATAACTGTTTAATGCTACTAATCCCTAAACTAACATTTCAGAAAGTTGTTGTAGGGCAAGACAACGTACACGGATTACTGAGCACATCGTCCAGTGCCTGTGAATATAATTTATTATACCCCGTATTCAAGATCACCGCGTTGATTGGACATAGCGCGATCACGTGGTAGTGAATAAAACTCATTAAGTAAATAATGAAAATCCAATGAAATCGATTTCGCTTTTGCGCATGCTTAGTTGTTTACATAAAAATACTCAAACCTTTGATTTTATGTTAGTTTATATAGTTACCTCAGTATTGGTCAATATTCAGTTTTGATAACACGAACATTATTGACCGAGGCATCGCCTACATATTGTTACGTTTAACAGGGGTTCTTGTATGATTGCATTTAAAGACAGATTATTGGTAATTTGGGAAGAGTTTTGTACACTTCTACCAGAATTACAAAGCGCTGATTATAGTTTGAATACTGAGAGACATTCACTGACAACGTGAGTAATGATATCAAACACGATAACTGCTTTTACATGCTCGTAATACTTATACAATATGTTTGACATAGTTACAGTTCATTAACATATTCCAATATTTATTTAGTGCATAGTGACCCACTACCAGTGTGCCCACAACAATATTTACACCATGCTTCATTGTCACTTCGTGTTTGACATTCATAATGTGTGACGTCATAGGATTATAATTGAACAGCTGTTCTATGAAATCACAAGATGATAATCGTATTTGTATTTATTAATTTGCCATAGATTACAGGTAGTACAAAGAACTAAAAACATATGACAAGAGAGCGAAGAACATTTCGAAATAATAAATATTAAAAAAATGAATGAGCAACTGATCCATGGCTGTTTTGTGTACGCGGGACCCATATCAATTATCACACGTTGAGACGATAGTAGAGTTTCATTATAAATTTATACCACATAATATTGAAGCTCGATTTTACTTTATCACTGACAGTTATTCCAATATATTTGTGTTACTAAGTTCAGATGCCAATTCAGGATCTGTAATCAAATGAATGTGACGAAACCCGTTATCGCATACTCCCAACATTCGTTGTCTCTATATTCGCATATGGTCGAAAAACATTAAATGCAGTCAAGTTTCGAAATGCTTTTCGTAACAATATATTGTTAACCGTCTAGCCCACTTCATCATATTCCTCCATATCTGCTGACATGACGTGGTATTTTATGGACAATAAAATGTTGGCTTTTCAGGTGAGTGTCCATGAAACTACCAGTTTAGGCTGCGGTGAAATGTACACAATGTCTACACTGTGATTAAATCAGCTGTCGCTTAATAATGATTAACGAGACGTATAATGTGGTATCAGAGGATGGTAATTGCGAACATAAATGAATTAATTGCCTCCTTGGTTCAGTTTAAGTTAACTTTGCAAGCATTAATTCTTTACATTTGTAATAATTAATTAAACAATCTACATTTGTGAGCGATGTTTGTTCTAATGAGTGGACTAACCACTATTACGATGACACATTTGATTGAAAACATACCAGGTGCAACAACAGCTTGACAATGGTTGTACCATTTACTGTCGCAATCAATCAATCAATCAATTAATTTTAAATAATATTATCTAGCGGTGTAATAAAGCGTGGGTTGTGAGAATCGTTAACAATATTTACAGTGGAAAAAGCTCAGAACACGGTGTTATTTAAAATATATCCCCCCCACGAAGGCTTGATCTCATTTATGTTATTTTATTAGTAATATAATTATAATGACGACTATAGAAAGAATTTCTGACCAATTTTTTTAATAATTATTTTATTGAAATGGTGAGCAATAACAATCGTTTATTAGTAATAGAAACATGTGACGAAGGAACGGGATGACTGTATTATTACCGTCTTTGTATTTTCTTTAATTTATTTTTTCCGCAATTGGAGGGAACGTTTTCAATTTTTAAATTAATCAAAAGATTCGGTTTCACTGAATACGGTAAAGAAATAAATAATGCCTCTATGTTGCGTGAGAATACTGACATGACACAATTAACCTAAAAACTAGCGGTATCGTTTTCTTCGCAAATCGATTCAGTAATGCATTAATTAAGTCTTGTTGAAATAAATCGCCACGCTCAATCGATTGTAGGGTATACTAAGAGATTTTGTTTATTGTGTTATTTGTAAAATATTTTAACGGATTTCTTTGATCATATATACAATATCCTCCCATCATACTAGGTATTTAAACCACTAATAATGGTGATTGAATTGCACATTCCTCGTTACTATTTAATTGCATTTAATTCATAGTTTTATTTTTACTTTCATGTTGTCTAAAACCAGACCGTAAAAAATCAATAGAAAGTGTACTAAATATTTGTCTTAATCTGTCATGAGATATATATTTTCGACACTAACGACAGAAACAGTAAATCACCTCTACGTCGGTTTATCCGTCTATACATCAAACGAATAACATCAATGTTCATATAAGAGTCATTTAGTTCATACTCAGTAGCAATATTTAGCGATTTATCGGCTATACTACACCCCTCGAAAACATGTACTGTAAACACATTAATTGTTCCCTGGTTTTCACCGATATGTAAAATCTGCTATATTAATTCACGTAAACAAGAAATTACAATAAATCTCATTGTTTGCCTGCCAAATTCTTGATTTTAAAATTGCTCAAAACATCGAAATAGTGAAAATAAATGGCAATTAACATAATTGGTTTACCGTATACCGTTTACTCAGAAAATATTGTCAGTTTATTTCGATTCACATTCTCTGAGCGATTATATGTAATTCTATATGAAATAAATTCGTACGATTTTCTAAACCTTGTACCGTTCAAGAAAACTTGGCTTAAATACCATCTATAACACACTCTTATGGTATGCTAACAGAAATCAGTAACTATCTGACAAAGCTGATCTATGTCACTTAGTAAAACAAATAAAATAACGATACTGATGTAATCAGAAGTCGTTATAATTTTGTTCACAAGACGCCCTGAAACTCATGCGTCCAAATTAAATGCGTAAATGTGCTAACAAAATGCGTCCATTTTGAGTAGATGCGCGAAAAATAAAATTGCGTTCTAATGCGAGCAAATAAAGCGAGCAAATTTTCACAACTCTCGACTAATAACTGTTAGGTGTGACAATAATGTTTATAAGTTGACATGGCCGATGACCAATGACGTCATGCCGATAGCTCGTGTACGTGAAGCATCATAACACCTATTACTGTTTTTTTTGTGTGCGCCATTTCTGATTTAATGGCACGGTTCCTCTCATAGACAAACGTTCGACGTCAAATGGGATCGGATATAAAAGTCGATAACAGTACACAATTTCCTTGTATCACGCAGTTGAACCTATCACCAATCAATAGCATGTTTATTTAACATTCACCAGCGCGAGAACCGCGACAAAATGATCTATTTAAAGTTGTTATGTTTTATGTTGCTAAACCGTACGCAACTCATGCCTTGATGAGGTCGAACGAGAACAACATTACTGGCGTCACTCGGTTTGTCGGAAAAATGGAATAACTAAACGCCAGGATATGGTCGTCTTATACTATCAGTAGCGGGAGGGGGGGGCGTCCAATGAAAAGTTTCGCAGTCAGCCGTCCATCCGTAGGTCAATCGTGTAATTTTAACCCCCCCCCCATGGACCCCTTGCTAATTTCTGTTACTATCTATTGTCCATACTCCCTACATATATGAAAAAACATTTATCTCAAAAGACTGTGGCCCACATGCATCTGAAGCAGATGACATGTTCGCTTTACGTGAGTTTTGATTAAGAGTTCTTGCTTTAACTGAAGCAAATGACTGCAGATGAAGTTAAAAGTGTGGTCCGGAGCACTAATCCCTGAAAAAACATCAAACTAAATGGTAAGGTGAGAATTTAATATACGAAATATCGATTGGCGATAGTTTCGATGGTATGATGAGGGAAAATATTCTGCCTTTGTTGACTTTTATTAGAGATATTGTTTGACGTCACACGTTTTGTTGTACGAGTCTATTGGAGGAAGCATAGCTGTTTTGCGTCGAAGCGCGTGAACTGCGAGAGTCGAGTTATTTGTTTACGCGCGATTTGGATGGGATTCAAGATGGCGCCTCGCATGATTAGTGTGTTGTTGCTGATAAAAATGGCCCGAAACACTATTCAAATGTTAACTGTATTTTCAGTTCATTGCCAGAAAACAATTGATTTACTTTCTGATAACGCTCTGTTGTGAATGAGCTGTTTCCCTCTGCATAATTTGTGAAACAACAAAGAAAACGGCGGCGCCCATTGACCGGAAGTGCACCGTTTCCATACTCTTAGGGTACAGTTTTTTCCCATACATTTCTAATATATATACCTGCTATTTTTAGAGCTTGCTACGCTAGCGGACTTCGGCTGCACTCACTTTTAAATATGTGGGTATATATTAAATGCAGAAAACGTATAATAAGGGTTATGTTAACATTGAGTAGCTGACTCGAGCAGCTAGTTCTATAAAAAAGACACAGAAAAAAACACACATATTTATACAAACGCAGTGTTCAGTGTATTTTTGTTATTGGTAGATATATGTTAGATTTACCAGAAGAGCTGGTATAACGACTAGTATATACTTTCATGCAAAGTATTAGAATTTTACGCATATAAATCAATACCAGCCCGTTCAAAAATTTGCATAATATTATTAATTTATTTTTAATAATACGCTTATATAATATCAATTCTAATACTAATTAAAATACCACAAATGTCCCTCACAACAAAACAATAGCCGAAATGTACGCTTCCCTTTGCACTACTTAAATATAGATTATAAGTATTGACCACGATATCGTGTTATCAGTTCGGACACCCAGTATTGTTTCACTCGTCACGTTACGCAGTTTGATGTCATTAATGTCATTTGATGTCATTGTCATAGACATCCAGTTATTTTTTTTTACGGCGCAATGAAAATCATTACACGTGTGTTATCAATATTAATGAGCACATGATGGTTATGATCACACCATAAACGAATACGATATATAGCATTGTTTAGCTGAGTCTCAAAACATTGTCTAGAACTACAAGAGTGACATAGAAATATCTAAGACACAACCAGATACAGTTGGGTTGATATCATTTATAATGAGAACGACATACAAAACCGTATTTTAGCTGTGTGCTTGGCAGATGATTTGTTAAATGGGTGAGAGATCGCCTTAAAAATAAATAGCAAAACGACGTATTCGGTCGAACTTATAAGCGATTGCGCTTGGCTATAAAAATTGTATATGTAGGGAACTGAAAACCCGGTTCTCAACGTGTCTCTTTATTCAGCTAATCACGTTTATTTCTTTATCACGTGTACGCCAGCTGACTGAGCGTTACAAGTACAAAGTTTTCAGTTGTACATTAGAATTCAATTTATATAATATAAATTGAATTAAGTCTACATGTGTATGAAATGTTGGAGTTGGTGAAAGCGATAAAAAGACCGCCATAAAAAGACCGCCACGTTGATCATCTTTGGTTTGACTAGTTTCTGACATCTACACCTTATGGATATTTCAACGGTTATAATATAACAGATTGTAATCACTTTGATTTAATCCTGGAATCACCATTCTGTCGCAATTTATATAAGCTGTTAATACAATGACCGAATTAATCATCCAAGCACACATACACGATGTGTAGAAAGACAGTGATCAGCATTATTGAATCACAGGAATTTATATTGCAGGTGTTAGTTAAAGATTTCGGATCCTCACTGAATGACTTGAAAATATTTAATGTGATAAATTTGAATTTATGATTGTACCTGTGCGTGGTTCAAATTTTTAACACTTAACATTGGAAACAAGTGTTAAGTTGATCTTGTCCGCAGAGGTCAAGAGCGAAAGATATATGACACAGTATGGTGACGTGATTCATAATTCATATCACTGCCACAATGACGATTACTTTCATCTTGTTTTCATAAGATATGCAAAATTTTCGTCACTCGAACTAGTATGAGTATTTAAATAAAATATACATTTTTATACGTAGCGTGTGTGAGCGTTCAATACTTACCGAGTCTAACAACGGAGACTCTGACCCGATTGAGATTAATGCGTTCATAAGACTGTATCCATCGGTGCGTGGTGAATTATATTTCCATTTAAATCATGAAGTTATAAATTTATTCCAAATACAAATTGTACGATTTGACACCTGTTTTGTACTTCTAAAAACATCTCCATAGTTTTTTTTTCGGCAAAAGGGTAGGTACAACAGCCCAATGATTACTAGTAATATTACATACACTTATTTCGATATTGCGCGCGAGATGCGTGTTTGATATAATGAACATGTGGAGATTGCGGTTAAATGTGATAAAAGAAATAACACACTAACGTTTGGGAAATACCATAATTTGTTGTCTTTCCTCAGGTTGATACCCAAGACAATGACCATTCGCTGGCAATTAATCCTGATATTGCCTTCACTGCCACGTGTTATTGTTATTGTTTTACTATAGTTTACTTCATTGTGACATGTTGTTCTCAGTAATAGGTTTCGCAAACCATAGTTTAATATTTTTCCAGTGACAGTAAAAAAATCTTTTATATTTTGTCAAACTTGACAGACACCGCAAATGTTACAAATATTATTTTGTAAATGAATAGCAATTATGCCAATGTCAATATAATTTTGCGTGGGTAATTATGGATAAATAATAAGGGCTGACTACAATAACTATTTCCTATTGCGCATGCGTAAACAATGTTCTAATATCCTATCATTATAATGATTGGAATAATGAAAACATCACTGTGTAAGCACTGAGATGTAAAAATCAATGTAACCAATTAAGCAGAAAATGAGAATTTCTAGGATGTTATTTTAAGTACCCACCTTGTGTAAATTGCTGTGTCGGGATACCATACATCCTGAGCCTTTATTGGAATTGAGTGAATGCCTTCATAGTCACTGGGCTCCCAGTGAAGACGGTAGTCCTTCCAAATCTAATCATGAATCAATAGGCACAACATATAGTTATTGTTTCTAATAAGAACATGCGGTTATGTTAAAACTCCACAATTTGAAAAGGAGAAATATTTGATGTGAATTCTACGACTCAAAATTATATAACTAAACATACGCTGATAATTAAATATTCAAATATTCAGTCTTTACTTCCAGTGATATTCTGGATTTTGTATTCAACATACTAGGTACATATCGATTACAGCAATATGTCGCTTGACTGAGTCTGTTTGATAGAAGAAGATTAATCAAACGTATCATTGAATAATCTGTATACTTCATTTTTACTCACGACTTACCTGATAAAGCCATGTACTCAAAGTTATAACTTGCCGTTTTTCGTCCTAATAATAGAAACGACAATAAGAAAATATAACAACCAATTCTGCTGAATTGGACAGTGGACGTTCGCAGTAGATGTTTGCCAAGTGTCAAATGGCATAAAAGAAATTGTTAAGTTCAAAGATGATGTATTGATAACATTCAAAATTTGCTAGAAGCCATTAGTCAGCTGTTTACATATGCATTTTATTTGCTATCAATCAACACAATTAGATGTCACCAAATATGACAGTGAACACCTTACTGACGCATTCGATTGTTCCCGGTCATCAAGACTGCCGTTTAGAAAGTACTGGTAGATTGTATTACTTGAGTTCGTAAAATATGATGGGCAATATTTGAGTTTGAATGACGTCATTAATGGAAATCTATGACCGTGTGTACTATTCGTGTATGACATATCCACTTGTAAAATTAAAATGATTACAGAGTATTGCCATTGTTATCGTGATTCAACCTAATTACATAGTTTGGTAACAAAGTGTTAGTCCTGATAACAGTTCTTTTACGTACACTTCCTATTTATACTGGTGCTAAATAATATGTGACATTGCCCAATTGAATAAATAATACAAATAATTCCCGACTGCAAAACAATGCATCATTTACACCGTCTACAATTACTTCACAAACATTGTTAATAGTTTCATACGGTTCTCATTTTTTAAACTTATTGATTTATGGTGCTGAATACCATATTGATTGCAGCCTAATTGCCTGTAAACACATTGATCATAAAAATAATCATTTATGTATTATGTAATACGTAATTGCGATGTGACAATCAATACGAACAGGGTTTTATTTAGTTAATCTATTCTGCAGTTGGGTTCCATGTCATTCAGATCCATTCCGGCTATTTATTATCAACGAGTAGTTAACGCTATTTTGATAAGGCACAAAGTTGAACAGTGGTTAACTGCAACTCTAACGAAGAGTTTCCGTTTAATATAAAATGAAATATAATCGAATAGAATCATATCCGAGACCATTGAACAACAGGAGATGCGTGGAAATGTCGACTGTCAAGTTATTATTCTCACACTCGCTGTCAATGACTTTTGACATGAGAATAAAACCGGTCAACACATTTTAAGAACATTCGTGACAAGTCTCAAGCTTCATAATAATAATAATAAACATAATAAGTTTATACGCAATTATATTATATACCTGAATACTGCATATTTTGCAAGAATCAGGTCTACTTCAAAAATATTGTATATATAATATAAATCTTTGAACTAAATTTAATAGTTTTAAAGAATACATATATCCTTGACACAGACAAGACAATGCATACATTCATCACAAATTATTTTACGGGAATTAAATTTGTCCCAACTAATTACTGACGTAAATACTATGGAACACGATGGTTTCCAATTGCAGGCATGCAGCGTATTGTATCATGAAATATGGTATATCCTAACTACAGTGTTATCTATTATTAGGATCACACATTAAATAGTTGTATTCTTATTGTAGTGCACGTGCACAGTTCAGCTATCACGGTGCACGCATCTTAAATGAAACACGAATATGCATAGAATAATTATTGATCAATTAATTATGGTATGCTTACCACATCTAGTAGCTGAGTCACTGATAATGCAACGTTGATGACAACTGGTACACCGGAGATATTAGATGCTCTCACAGTACGGTCATAAGATGCAAACAATTCATTACGCAACTTTTCTTCCACTGACACACTAATGAATTCTGGAATCAAGCAATAGTTAAATTACACATCAAGATATTACGTCGTATACGTATTTACGTCCAAGAGAGTAAATAGTTTAAAGTTACTATTTTCAGTATCATTATGTACTAAGTATACAGTCAAACTCACTTTATCTGCACATAGTATTATACGCTTGTATGTCGAATAACCAGACCAAACATACGCCCAAATTCCCCAATAGTGCAGTCACGTAACAACGCAGGCAAATCAAGGGTACACCGTAAGGTGTTAAAATAATTCTAAACGCTTCTGATCGTTCAGGTATCATGCCAATGTGAGTGAATATACAACACAACAATTTATAGGAAGAAATTATCCACTTGTCTCTCTGCATTGTGGTACTTACTAACTTACCTGTCGACGTAGCGAATCCGCAGAAAATAAAACCGATGAGTGAGTAAACGTACATCATTGCTGTTCACGTCTAAAAAATCTTCCTCTTAAAAGAAAACTGGCTATGAGAAACACAGAGCCGACGAGAGAAGAAACGAAAATCAGTTTTGCAATATGTCTTACTACTAATGATGCTGCGTGAATGCAGCGCATGCGCAACGTTTCGACAATCGCCCACAAGCAAAAACTTAGTCAGAAATTGTGTCACATTGGATTGAAGAGCGAAAGTTTATAACAGTTAAATGCATTATTATATATTGCATTATCAGATTTCACAGTCGCACTATATTGATCTGAATATGTGTTTAGTCTACTCTTTTCATGTACTCTGGAGTAATATGTAAAGTGATTGGTGACATAAATACAGTATACAATACAGTACACATTGTGAAATATTTAAAACACAATATTAGCAGTGTCGTTATATCGTTATAGCACATGCCGTTCATTAATGGTTCTCTAAGCCCTAAAACAAATATTTTGTAACAGATTGACAATTAAATAAATACATGTTGTACCTAGTATTTGTATTTGTAAACCAAACAAAGAATATCCATGTAGATTTCAATATATAACTCTTAAACTATTGACAATTATAAATGATAACATTCCATAATTCGTATTTTTGTGACGTGCATACTGAAATGTACACATGGCAGAATATGTCATGAATTGTAGAATAACTTGAAACACTACACTGATTCTACCTTATTGTCGCAGATAGTTAGAATTTACGATTCACTGTGCAGAAAGATAATAAATGCCATATTGGGGGAAACAACAGGTTTTTATCAAATGGATTGAAATTGAATATAGGAATAATACATTTATCATATCTGTATCATGAATAGTATTTGCGATGTCACTGACCCAGAAACAGAAAACTATGAATTTGCTGGCACTAAACCAATAAATCAGACACAAATGCGTAAATTACCAAGTCACGTTTTTACTATTTGTACTATAGCTTTATTATTGCTGTCACATTCAATAGCTTCTACTTTCGAACGCACGCATCAACAACAAATATAGCGAGTATATAAATCCGACATAACTGAATACAAACGGTGGGTCAGACGCCAATCTCGTGAAAGAATGTTCGCTGGTATTTCGAGATGTTACACTGAAATCAGCAACGTATGTATATAGACTCGGACGACTTTTTTTATCGGTCTGAAATATAGATGACACCAATGGTTTTCATTGAAACCATTCTCATTGAAATACAAAGGACACCATTACTATTCCGCGAAGCCTCGCGCATCAGTCAGAAATAAATTAGAAGAGGTTTTGTCACTACACGAGCTTTGATTTTGTTACATATATTTGCCATTATAAATAATGAAAAAGCTACTATATATACGCGCTTTCGCTAACTCCAGTGTACCTGTCTTACCTGACTTCAGTCTATATCTTACAAATATGTGAATACAAGCAGAAAACGATGCATACTACTAAGATTATCACTAAAATGCCACATATTATGCTTCCAGACATACTACTAAATTTGTGTGTGTCAAGATAGGAGACACAATTAGTTAAAATGACTAACATCATGGTAGATTTGAATGTGCTCAATGCATTCGGCAACTGTATCGACCGATACGCTTAGCTACAGCTGTAGTAGTTAAGGTTTGTAAACATCACAGATTACCACCTTCCAGTTTTGCTATGACTGTTTTATAGCGACGGATTAATAATATTGTTAGGCGCATGCGCAAACATCATTGATTAGGCAGCGTCGTTTGTATTGTAAAGTTTTCTTTCATTCACATATCGGTATAATTTGTGATAATGTCTCATATTTAATGCTCGTCACGATTGTGCGGTTATCAACATAACTCGTCTTTTATAGGGGGCTCCTTTTAAACAAACGTTATATTTCCGCGATGTATTCAAAGTGAGTGAATAAGGAGTACACATTTCGCCACAACCACTGCAAAACTTGGTCAGTCAGCTACAGACCAACCACGTATTTTGCGTGTCACGTTGAACATAATCCGGCCAGATCTAACCAGATGCCTGAGGCAACAGTAAAAAAACTTGAGACATAAACTTACAGTCAAAAGCATGGAAACTCGTACGTGAACACAACTCTAGTAACTCATTGAAGTTATGTATATATATATATATGTAGCTGGTTGTTTGAAACCCCTACACCTTATCCGAGACAGAAATAAACTCAAATTGCCTACCCCTTCTCAGACAAACTGTTGATATTTGACACTTTGACGATCCATATGAAATTACAGAAAGAAAAAAATCCGATTCATTCAGCTGAGTGTTGGATCACTCAAGCTCTAGAGACAGTCTTTGGAAAATATGGACCCCTTTTCATACAGAAATAATGAGAAAAGGGTAAAATAACACCCTTTTTCAGAGAGAAGTGGTGAATTTGGGACCCCTTTTGGCGGCACATATACGTATAGCACTTCAATGTGAGTAACCCCCCCCCCCGGGATGTTGACAATTCACTACTAAGTGAATATGATAAGCTTGACCTGTTAACCTCTGAACACATATATCCATGCTTAGTCTACATGAACTACATAACAAATATGCACTCCTATTCTCCACTTGGGCTTCACAAAAATGCCCAGCAGCATTAGTACAGCAGTGATGGTCATACTCATGTATTGGAATCATTTCTAGTGAGACGCACGTGGGAGAGCATGCTAGCGACAATGTTTCCAAGCCTAACCGTATTCTTGGTTGTCATCGTCACACTTTTAAGTACATGAAGGCTGATACGTAAATGTGTTGGTTTGAAAAAGATGTCTGTTTCAAGCTTTACCCTAAATTGCTTGAAATAAATACAAACGCAATACTCATAGGAATTCTGGTTTACTGTGTACAGATTACAGCAGACTCAACTTAGTCGTGTTGGTCCATAAGAACCGCCATAACGCAACAACATGCTAATCAGCCATAATATATTCAGGTCAAAGTTCATTTAGTCCAAACTGAACGAAGATTATAATCTTGTTACAATGGCCAAGTTGAGCCATGCCATCACATATGTGAGGGTTGGAAGGATATTGAGCTGTGCATGAAAGAATGATTTTTGTTTCGATAACATATTTAATAAAACAGTTGAAATACAAACATAACATTCCTTGCAAAAAGATTGTTTAACATTGTTAGATACGGTTTATGCGACCTATGTTCGAGTCCACCAGCAGCGAGTTATATATCATGAAGTCTATATATGACGACTTTGTGCATTGGGGTATAGCTGTCAATAATAAGCGTGAATATCATTGCAATTCCAAAATACTGCAACCGGGACTGTATCCATGACAATATGATATTCTTAGTTAACGAATACTTTTGAACTTAATTTGTCATTGTCACGTAAATATAGAAGAGTTTTTCGACTGAAGTAGAAAATATGGTTCAAACACATTGGGCGGTGAGCTTATTGTTACATTATATTAACAAAACTGCGTAAACCTTAATCTCCTGCATTGCAGCCCTAAAAATACACTCTTGCTGATTAGTTGGAAAGATCCCGTTTCTCTTCAAGTTTTTAATTTTCTCTCCCATCAACTATTTGTGGTATATTTTCAAAATATGACCACTATCGCCAACAGCACAATTTCTTTCGTCTTAACGATTAGCGCCGCGTGGTGGCGCTCTATAAGTCACTGAGTTCAGGTTATTCGTGAGAGGATGCTGACGCCGCCGAGAAATGTACACAATGTGAAGGTAACTAGAAGTAACCGGTCTATTATTGTTGCCAGTATCCTCCATTCTGTTTGAATCTGTACATAAAACAGAGAAGGCAAATTGTTAATCACATGCACGAATGGAGCTCGACTATAACGGGTCTCATTTGTATCAAAATTTTGCCAGAAATTGATGCGCACGGTATCATGGCAACACGCGAATACGACACCACGGACAAATTACAAAATATGTGCCTCTTTGATTTACAAATGTGTCACACTTGAAATAAATATATTGTATTTTTAACTTTCCAGAAATGCTATTGAACTATTTTGTTTTGCCAGTTTTCAAGAAAATTACTTAACCACAAATGTTGATAGTGAAAATTCCTAGACACAGTCAATAAAAACAAGTGTCATCTATTGGTATACAGCGAATATCAACGCGTCGCACACTCTTATATAAATTTTCTGATATATGGTAAATTATCGTTAGATATTAGTAAACTATGATAACAATCGAATTGCGAATAAAACAATAATAGATGCAAGAAAACAGGTTAGAAACAATATTAATTTTGCTCGACATGGTAAAGTGAAAGACATATGAGTGCACTTGTTTTGACATCGACTGTATATGAGAAGTGTTATGTATTTCTTCGTCACTGACTTCAGTGATTGCATCTGAAGTATATCGTATCGCTGTGTAAGTTCGTCCGGGAATTGGCAACTCATTGTAATGTCAGATTATTAGGGAAGAAAGTTTATTAAACCTGCCCGGCCAAGAAAAAAGAAATAAAACGACTTCAACAGTGAAATAAGCACCAGCTGCACCACGGGTAGTGAATTATAATTCAGTTGTTTTTTTTCGTCTGCGCATAATCAACACGGTCTAAAACTGAATATACTATCACATTTTGTCTGGTATCATGCAAAGGTTAGAATATTTTTAAAATCGTATTGTAACCTATCGACAAACAAGGCTGGTGGTCGTCACCATGGATGGAAGGGAAGGGGTGGGAGGCGAGGGAACGCCAATCTAAATTTAGTTTTTGTGTGAATTATTTGCCTATTTTTCTTCGCCACAAAGATCGAGAAATTCTGGATTGTGTTAGTGATTCCAATTGTATATTTAGACCGTGTTGGTGTATTTGTTCACGAGTGCTTATTTTACGTAATTCAGTGTATCAACCGTGTAATCCACTAGCGGTGATGTAAATCCAAATGACTGAATCTTTGAAAAACACACACACAGGGAAGTTGTTATGTGTCATACCAATAAAGATTGGTTGAAATTTCCCCGTAATACAAATGAATGTTTTAATTAGGACATCTAAAACCGACATTTGTTATTTGTTGCACGATATTCAACTAAACTGTATATTGTGTGAGGTCGGTATATAAATGAATGTATTCGACATATTTCAAGGTGAAATAACCTATGAAATTAACATTCTCATTGTGTATGTCATTATAACATGGGACGTTGCCATATAAACGTCAAACTTTTTAATATTATCATCAAAATGAGTTATTACCAAACAATAGCGTACGTGACTCAATGGAAATAGAAACAATCATTTTGATAACAGAGGTATAAATTTTGGGAATAAACTACTTCACGGGGAGTCTGCTTTTCAATATAGACGGACACTGTGCGGCTATGCATAGAAAGTGGAAGACTATTTCGCAAACGTTTGTAACAATTTGTCAGTGTCACTATTAAATACCGGGATACAACACGTTTGCACCTGATATTAGAGACGGGGTGTCTCACGAGTACCTATCCGAAATGAGAGGGGTATTTTACCAGATATATAAGAGGGGGCATCGTTAATCTACTCGATATGGGAGGGGTATCTCAAGACAATAAATACATAAGCCGATAGTACACTGTTAGGCTTTCAATCTTTGTGTTTGTGTCGCTGTCCTATTTTACCCTAAAACATCTGTTTTTAAATTGATAATTTCGCAATGAACAATATCATAGTCTAATAACGTTCATTCAATCGACAGTTTTCGAAGAATGTGTTTATTGTTATAAAATTATCGTACACTAATTTGACAGTGTGATATAGCGCCGTCACACAACGTAAAATCCTGGCCTGTTTGCAGCACCAGTCGGTTACTACGAGAAAGCCATAGAAATGTTTACCTGCATCGCGGTATTTAATGAAAGGGTATACATATCAGTGTCTATGGTCTGAAACATACGATGATTGGTCATTCTCGTTCACGACATTTACTCATACATATGCAAATTAACTTACAAATACAAGCTATGTTTTTGTATTTTGCCAGAGTAAGTTTAAAATGTAGCGTAAAATACTTTGACGGGTATAGATGTAGGTCATTGAAAAAACGTGTATCTTTGCACAATAGGGTGAATATTTTTAGTGAAAAAAACACACAAACATTACGGCAATATTTAGTTTCCAGTATATAACACGTTTCAATAGAATTAAAAAACACCATAAAACTAGCGACCTAACATCTTCTGCGGGATAAATTGACTTGTTTTAATATATTTACCTGTATTGTCTTCTCTTTTGGTAGTGTCCTCCTGAGTAAAACTTCCATATATTTCACTATTTTAGTCGTGTTGACTTCAATTTGCCTCTCTGTTGTCGTGCGAACTTGTTTGTGATAATCAGTCAGTTCACGCATGCGCAATGACAGTTCTGAAATATTTCTTTTTGTTTTTCCTGTATTATTAAAGTTAACCACTTTATATGGACGTCTGTCTTTTACCAAGTTGAGCAACTTGGCTGTTGACGAGTTGTTTTCCAGAAGATTCGCCTCGTCTTCCGGCGTTTCGTGGTCGTCGATGTGCGCTATTATTCTCCTCTCTCTGAAAGCAGTTCGGTTCGCTTTTCTGTAAATAGAGCTTGAGTTTGGGATTCCTGTCGGTCGAACTAGTTTTGTTTCTACAAAAAGGATTTTAGCAAGAACGCGGAAAAAAACCTTCCTTACCCACCCAGGGACGGGTTTCTTCCCACTGGATTGCTGGCACAAGATTGAAACACCTGTTGTCATGGCGACGGATATGCCAATCAGCATCATATTGAATATCAAGTAGGCTGTGAGGTATGGGATCATGTTGGACGTTGGGGGCAGTAGCTCCGTTACTAAGATACTGAAGACGTAGAGAGTCAGCAGTAATGAAATACTAAGGTTTACTTTGTCCGAGGAATCGGACGGCAGGGCGAACACGACCACCGTGAGAACAGCTACCAACACGCATGGCAAGATCAAATTAACCGTGTAATACAACGGTTTCCGACGAATAGTCAAGTCAAAGATAATACTGGTGTAAGAATCTGGCGTGGCGGTGAAAACTTTTACCATAGTGCGTCCTTTAGCAGCTGATATCTCCCACTCGGAATTGGTGATGAAGTTTTCTCGCGGTACTTCCTCGTTCGACAACATCAACTGAACTTGTCGATCAGCGTACATCCAGAGGCCGAATTCAATCTCGCAAGTCTGTTTGTCGAGCGGGAAATATGTTATATCCATATTGCAGGGTGTTCTTAAAATGGCGGGAACTACCTGAATTACTGTGCCCTCCTTGAACAGATTAGCAGTAAGGCCTCTAATGACGATACGTGGGAAGCCGTCAAACTGATCATCGGCACTGATAACAAGAACGAAAAACAGAATTAGTTTTTTTTAATGAAAACATATGTATCGAACTGAACTTTCGGGGTATAAATCAATTTCACTGTAAACTCTATACAAAATGCCCCAGAAACATTAAAGAGTTTCGTATTGCCCGTACAAATATGCCTTACAAAAATGTGATTTGTCTATAAAACAAAAGCAAATGCTATAATTAATATACGTGTAATATACCAAACTGCTTTTTCCTAGTTACTCCAAGTCATAATAATAATTTCTTAAGATACTGATATGAGAAGCCAAATCACATTAAGTTCACGATTTTGTGTTACATTACATTTGCATTTTATAAGGCTTTGCGTTCGATTCACTGTTCTGCAACTGTAAAATATATTGTGAAATCCACTGTACGTTCTACGAAACAAGTATAGAATTGAACACACACTGCCATGTGTCTATGTCATCACCCTCCCGTCTATTATTGAGCGGATTTACAGAACGTGAATGGTTAAAAACGACTAGATACACGCACTAAATAGGCCGTATGTCAATTAGTAATTACAGAATATACGAAATACAGATAAATGAATAATAAAATCCATTCACTTCTCCACAGGGGCTTTCTATGCAATATATTCTGCCCTTCGTGTCACTCCCGCTTTCACTTGTTATATGTAGTGCAGTTCTTAGGTGGAGAGGCTATACAAACCTGAATTCATGTTCCATATAATGCAGTTCTTATATTAGACAAGCTACACAGACGTAAGGATATGGTGTAGTTTTTCTATGAGGGTAGTTACACATTATCAGGGACCTGTTCTGTGCAGTAGTTTTTCACGCGGGAAACTTAATGTACAAATCCAGGAATCTGTATAGTGCAGTTCTCACGCGGACAGACTTTACCAACCTGCAGATATGTTTTTTATAGTGCAGTCCTTATACTGTGCAGCGTAAACATACGTAAAGATAATTTCTATAAATTACAGCTTTTTCATGTTTTTTACGTGAGGGCAGGCTACCCTCATGTACAATTAGAAATGAGTCCTGTGCGATGAGACTACATCCTGTTCTATCCTTCAGTCTGTTACACAATATGGCTGATAATTTAATACATAGTCAACCTTATAAATTGGTCTAATCCACGTGAGTGTAATAACAAATATGTGTATAATTAATTTCACCTGTTTAGAAGCGCCGTATCCGGGCACCACACCGTATCCATGGAGATAACAAGAGATGGAAGGTTCTGATAAGAGGAATTTGATTCCCATGTCAACCGACTGTCGATCCATTGCTACCTCAATCAATGATATGAAAGAGAAAATAAAGCAAACAGCACATCAAGGGATTTGATATTAAACATGTACGAGGGATTACTCGCAGATCCACCTATCTCATCTATTGGCATTATCTTTTTTCTTCTGTCGTGAACGACTCGCTTACGGAGAATGAACCAACAGTGTTAAATTAATCTGGATTCACCGTAATATAACTGTTAATTCATATTGGCAGCAGTGTAGAATGTACTCTGTCTTGTTAAATGCGTTTTATTTACGACCTAGTTTATGAATGCGCTTACAATGCCAGCAATAATCTTAAAATTTAATAGTGCAGTGAAGAAAAGTGCAAGTATTGTTGAAAGTACCAGCGTGATGGCAAGGGACGTCTACTTTACTGAGCTCACTGTGAACTTCCTCATTACTAGTTTCACATTAATTGGCTTCATCGTTATATTTCAGCACAGTGTACTCGCGTATCGCAAACTCCTAACACTGAGAGTAAGGTTCCAGTGTTGGGTTCAATAACACATTAACATAATAGCTGGATGAGAATATAAGGATGTTAGAAGATTTGGATGACTGGAGTAGCCGGGATATCATTGAGCTATAAATCGCATTACCGCAAAGCCTGGGACAAAATGTGTTCTCTTTTTCCAGAAACTGTGCATTCTAGACTTTTAGAAATTTATAAAATTCAAACTAGCATGTTCACATTCGACCTTAAACATTGACGCTATGCACATACCTAGATTATTATTTCCATGAGTTAGCCGATACGTACAAGCTTGGTCAAAATTCAATGATAATTTGTTGTACTGGCTGTCAGTTCGAGAATTATCCAGAAATCTTTACCTTAATTCATAGTGCTTATGTGGAACGAGCTGTCTTATTAAACTGAAAACATGAAGTTACACTCAAAATTAGAATTTTATCTTAAAATTATTTGCTTAAAACTGCCTAATTTTCTTTTCACTCTTTAATTTTTTTAAGTTGCCAGTTTCAAATACGAATAAATGTATCCATAATTTTGTATGTGTGTATTATATAATGTTTGTATTTACGTCGTAATATCTGCTTAATATGGCCTTTTCTTTTTATTGTCTGTTATTTTGCCAATTTCAGTTGCTAATTGCTCATACGGTATTTAATCATCCAGTACTTTTAGTTGTTCTTTTTGTGTTAGTTTTTCATCTAGTTTGTATTTTTAACTGGACCCTTGAACTTCGAAAACTAGTTCAGTTAAACTACCTCATCGGTCCCCACAAACAAATAAAAATAACATATGTGCTTCTTCTATATGTAATCCTTTGTTTGACAATATAATATGGTGAAATAAATACAAATACAAATAGTTAAATAAAGAGATTTATGGAGTTGATTGTGTTATGCCCATTTTCATTACAAAACATTTAAATATCCTCTTCTGTGAACATAACTTCAGAGCTGTTATTTCGTTATCTGTACTATCTTGATGGATATCGGCTGCGTGCACACAGCAGTGACATTGACAATACCAACCATGATGTAGCACAGTGTACTTGAACTAGTGCATAAACGTCCACTGGTGTTATCATACCAATGTGTCATACATAATGAAGGTCATGTCTCCCACATCGCACGTGCAGATAACTAGCTATCTATATACTACGCGATAACACACGTGATAATTAAATATTCCTGCGTCACTGCCTGATTCAGATAAAACTTATATATGGTAATACGGCAACACTCAATGTCAGCACTCGTTGAACCAATCACACACAAATCATATTGCTATATCTAAGACTCGTCGCCTGATTGCGATGACATTCAGCCATAAAACAAACAACATCCAAATTAATCACTTTCAAAGTAAAGCAATTGATAGTTTAATTATCCCGTTACAGCTTTTCAATTTTAATTTATTTCAACTATAATTACGTACAAATATCGTGTTTTAGGTATCATCATATAGTTCATACAATCTGAATTACCTGCACAGATTATACCTTCAAAACAAAATAATGCAATAAATTAATGCCACGCTTTTCAAAAAATAAACACTGGATTGGTTGCTAAAGATTATTTTTACAACTAAGAATAATGATGGTATGATGGTATTTAATCATACACATACGCAATTAATGACAGTTTCTGGTATTATGGCCTCGTTTCAGATCAGATCGGAAATGGAGGAGCTTTCCAGCCTCAGTTTTATAATGATTCCATTGTGTTACAAAATGAATGATGTGTTTTGTAAAATTAATCACAATGACTTAAATTGTGTATATTGGGATTTGAAATGCGAAAATAAGCATCTGTAATTAAATCACAAAACAGCAAAGCCAGATTACGCATGTGACTGATAACGTAATAGCAACAGACTTTTAACTCGTTAATCATCAGATGGAATGATTGCAAAACAATCTGTGACAACATCGTCTAAAATACACGGACTTTCATGTAATTGACGCTAATGGAAATGTTATGAATTAATTTTATCCGCAAACAAATACTTAAAGTGTTGAGTCATATCTCAGTCAGGGTGTGTCTCTCTAGAACATGGAGTTAGGTCAGTTAGGCGGCGGGAGTGGTGGTAAGATATTAAATACAACCGTTGAAATGGATTCACGGATGGTGTTTGTGGGTATTGCGTTCAAAGGACCTGGGTTATTCAAATATTATGGCTGACGATTTGTAGCTGTTAATACGTGACACATTTCTTATCAATAAAACGTAAATGTGTCTAGTTTATAATATATTTCAGTGAAATGTACAATGATGATTGTGCTGTCCTCACACATACATTTGTGAACTTTCAACACAGAATACACAAACATAGCCGAAACCGTCATTCATGTCATTAACATTACTCGATAAAAGTAATTTCAGTTAAGCCATTACTTTTTAGGTGATTATTGAAATGACTTTCATTTGAGGCTATTTAATGCAGTCGTTTTTTTTATTATTTGCGCTCACCAGGGCTGTCACTGATTTTACGAGTTCAATATATACTATATTTTACAACCCGAAATGATTACTTGAAAATGACGTCTAGATTGTGAATAACAAATTCAAAAAAAGAAATATATTGACGAGAGAGGGACCAGCGTTTACAAAGTGGATAGTTCAATCAAGCTTTATAAGTAGCTCTTTGGCAACGGTAGTGACATCATGTGCCCTAAATGACAATCACGGTCAGGGTGACGCATGCAAAGAGAAAAGCCAATGGCGATTTGAAAAATATACATCACATTTACACTGTTAATGTTAGTATATACCACTCAACTGGCTGCTAAGAATCACGTCATCACGTATATGTTTCCAAACGGTAGAAATCTTAAATCTTAAAGCATTTCCATACACATTGCCGTATCACAATGTATTCATACTATACAAAGGATGATAATATCAGCGTCATTCCTTGAAAACGTCAACAAAGAACGTCAGTCTAACTGCGTACAACAACTCAGAACGATGTGACCTAAAAGAAGCTGACAACCTCGGCAATATTTGTACATTGATATCGATTGATAAAGTAATTCAACTGTACATCTGCAGTGCTATAATAATACAACTTAACGTGCATAGAGGGAGATATAAAATTATTTGACTTCCTCAGAAATCAATACAACAAGGTCACAATATTGTCGATAACTTTCTTATGTTGTTTACGACATAGTTATACAGAATATTCACTTGCAATTGCGACTAGGACTGAGACATGATTTCACCCGAGAGTGACTAGATTTGAATATTGTGTATTTGAATGTTGTCACTTATTCAAGTACATACATTGCTGACGGGAACGTGTCTCATTGCATGTATTGTGTTGTTTTATGTATTTTAGTATTATCCTCCGTTAGTATAATTACTTTTATCTAACAATACTGAGACGGGTCACTTTAAATCACAGGTGATATCGATTCACGTATGATTGAATATGCATGCTAGCTAATGTACACATTAAAGGCGTTGTATATTATTGCCAACGTTTCGATGTAGTTTTCAAAATAAACTGAGAAACCAACGTCTATACTGCTAACTCATAATCGTATTATGGTTGCGCTATATCCTATATATTTATTACCATTTTCATGAATGCGTTTTATGAATTTGTAATTTCTGTTTCACTGATACAACGCAATATGGATTTATTTGACATATGTACGTGCGGTTACAAACCAAAGTATAAAACATCAACACCATGTAGAAGTAGTCAGGATTCTCGACAAAGCCAACCCGTAATATATTTTCCCAATGTTACAAAGGTCAATAATTCCCTCAGTGGCGTTAGTTGTGAATAATTTAACGAGAAGTCTGCTTAATCTATTATACTTTGCAGACAAGAAAACTCATCGAATTATTTAATAATTTATTTTACCTTTATTTTCTTTGTTTACTGAATGTAGCAAATTGACCTTTCCTTATAGGCCTAACAATATTTATCATGCTATTATTATTATAAAATTCTTTAGTTTCTGAATTTGACGGAGCCATTGCAAGTGTTTTATTGTACAAACTTAATTAGGTTACAATTACGTATAATAAAGCGTGTCACTCACCTGATACAACCAAATTCTTGTCGTAATAATTTGATTTTTTTCATCCTACGAAATAGAAAGTACAATCGTGTAACAAATGACCTCATTTAGAGGGTATGTTGACACACATAATGATGTAGTGGCAGCTATGCCATGGGTTGAACAATTGAGTAGTAATAGCCAGAATGACACTTGCTGTCAGATGCACGAAATTAAATTTAAATTGATAGCAACGACACCCAATTGTTTAAAAGGACGTTCACCTGTCTCTGCTACAAACGGTCAAATGATAATAGCGGAGTGTTAATTAATGTGACAGGAAATGATTGCATGTGGCTTTGATGAATGGATTTTCCCAATTGTACGTCTCCACCTACAAAAGCCTTTGTGAAACTTTATGATTGATATAATATAAATCACGTCGTGGATCGGGTAATAATTCAAAGGCATATCAATCGTAACCTGCCAATCAATCATTCATTCATTATTACAACCTCGTACTCAGACAACGTATCCCTTATTCTTACAATGTACAAAACATTTTAAATCATATATATTTAACACTTACCACATCGATTAGTTGGTTCAATGTCATATATAACTGAACTGGTACTGAGTCGTTTGTTTTGCCGATTGGCCTCGTGGCTTTAGAATAATTTGTGAACAAAAACTGCATTAGTTCGTCTTCAGCAGACTTGTGTCCACCTGCGAAAATAATTGCATGTAACCGTGATGTGAATTTCACGAAGGAATTGATCACCCGTGACCAGGTTTAACCAAATATGTACACGTTTCTTCTCAGGGGAGCTAATTCACTGAACATACAAATTCCTTTCAGATGTTACTGGAATGCAAGAAATTACCGTGAAAACAAAACATGAAGCCATTGTAGCATCATTTCAGAGTAAGCTGATTACAATTTTTCTGTGAGGTGTAATTACACTTTTGCCCAAAGAACTATCCTTATCCATAGATACCTTAATATCCTGAAATTATAAAGACATAGTGCCTATACACACAAATAGAAGATAACATTTAATATTAAACTACAGAGAACTGCCGTGTATAACATTATATGACAACATTGTAATGAATAGATAATGAACCTGCAGTAAATGAAATATATTATTAGCATAAATTTGGCAAAATGCATCGTGCAAGAGGCTTAGTGATCATTGACGCTGCAGGTCGGCGTCTTCTACGCCGATCTAACGCATATCGCGCAAGGAGTGCCATTTCGAATTCATTGGACGTTCGGCACGTTTTCACTGATATAATAAATCTTTACTAAATAATGATAAATAAAACGTAGAGACATCTTAGAAATGAGCTGATCCAAACATTGTGCACTCAGCATTCAGTTTACACTGATAATTCCTTGTTCGGAAGGCGTTCTACGCGTGATTTTATCGCGCTCAAGTACGTTCTATTCCAAGTTAGTTAAAGCCTGAAGTAGTGCGGGAAATTTCAAACTTTAAACTCAAATTTGATCATCATTATTATTTGTTAGTTTTTGCTGTATATAACATTAATACATATGTGTCAGGCAGTATTCGAATAAAATCATGACTATGTTTGCTGTAAACATTGCAGTGATGCGTTGTTTATTTTGTTTGTGTCCCATAGTATGTTGGTCGTTTGCTGTTGCTTGCGACTTCGACGGTAACAGCTTCCAAAATAAACCAGTTTCATCGCAATTATAAACTGGTTCGTCAAAATAACCACCTTCATAGATAATTTCTTTCAGTTTTTTTGGAAAAGTTCTGACAACGTCCATGTTCGCAGATCGAGCTTTGCCTTGGATTGAGACTGCGTGTTTAGCGTGTCTTCTTTGCCATCGCAAAAACCACCCTGAACTGGCCTCAAATTCAAAGTCGTCGTATCTGAGTTGCGTGCTTTGCATTGGGTGATGGGACCTGAGAGTGGAGTTCCGACAGACCGTTCCTGAAGAAACGTAAACAGCTTTATCGATGTCATCATTGTCGGACAATTTCGCACGTTTTTCTGTTCAGTCCCGCCTCTTGGTCAACTTTGAAAACAAATGTACTCTTCCTTTTTACCCACCCACAAATAGTGGGCTCACCCACTGCTAGATCACATGCAACCCTTAACTTGGTTTCACCTCTTCTTGACACGGTCGATCGCTGTGAGTTTATGGCATACGAACAGACTGGATAGCTTTCGCTTTGACATGCTGCTCAGTTGAGAAATATATATCAGATAATGAATTCAACTCATTGTAGCGAGTTTTATAGAGGTATACCAAAATGGGACCGGCCGAAAAGCACGTACGGTCACTACTCGACACCCCTGTTGACACGTTGAGTAAGGCCACGTCACCCATTGAATCTCAGCAATTGACGGGCAGTAGGTGTTAAGTTGTCTCTTTAACGGTTAGTTAAAAAAACTATACCACGAAACATTAGTCTTTGTACTTCAAAACTGCTGTCAAAACACAATAGAAATTTTGGGAGCCATCCAATACCCGCGACTGACTTAGCCGAATCGCGACTTACCGAGGCGCGACTTAGCGAGGGGTCACTGTATTCCACCCAGCAAACAACATTTCACTAAAATATGTGAGTCAAAAGCAACTTAAATTGTGAAAAGCATTATCAAGCTTCGTGAATAAACACTATTGTAAAAAAGCGACAAAGCGCATTTTTGCCAAAATCGGCTAGTAAGGCGTCATATGACACATATCTGTGCCGAGACAGCGCTTCCTGTGACGACACAATGGCATAGCGATTATAATACTAGTAACTGTATAAATATTGATATCTGATATGATTAGTATTCAACGCAGAGGGCGTGTATGAGTCGAATTACTGGTACGTACTATCAAACAAAACATGCGATGCATGTATATACATGTGATACACGTGTTAATTTCGTGTTTACTGAAAGAAATTAAAAGTCTCATCTGGTTGGCAGCGCTCGAGAATATTACCCGCACCATAGTAATTCCTTTGCAAGGCCTCAGCGACAGTTACGTAGACCCAACAAACAATGTCACACACTAGAATCACGTACATGTCTATCCTTCACATAGGCACCACTTACAAGAAAAGGTCATGCTATTATTAACTGAGTAATCATTTTTTATTAAAATCAAAACATGCAGCGTACATGGCATTTGAACAATATCTTTGTATCCCAGGCTGCGCCTATCGATCGATTTTTATGTTACGCATATATTAGACACGTTGTACTAATTGCGAGATTTTAATTGGCTAACACGTTTATTTGATTATGCATACTGTAACCGATGGAAGTTATCCGTCGCTGGAAAAACCGTTTGGACGTGTTTTGCCACGAACGAGTTTGAATTTGCTAAGATTTTAAACTGTGCGACACGTGATATTCGAACATTTTAAAACAGAAGCAAAAACAATGCGTATAATGTATAATGTCGTGACCCGATGGTAAACAAAAAATGACCAGGTATAAACAAATTATTCACACAACCGGTTGACGAAAGTTTGCAAGTGCTAAACTAATGTAATACACTATGCAAACGACAAAGTGCGATTATTGCGCACAGTAACTAGATCATCTTCGACTCTCCCATTAAAAAAAATAATACATTTTATGTGCGCATCTGTTTGAACATCTACGTCTTCTAATAATAAATAGGTTACAAGAATGTCACAATGTACGCGTTTGTTAGTACGGTCACCGTCCTGTCTTAGCAATCACGTAATATTTGCGCCTAATAAAAGTACAATGTATACTGCGTTCACACCATAAACCGACATTTGAAATACTATTTTATTTATCGGGACTGATTTTAATGTTCTGTTAATTAATTGAGTGGAACAATTTGAAAGCATTACATTGGTATCAGATACAACTATAAAAGTTTATAAATGTTATACAAATGTGAAGCGGTAGCTTGAACTGTGAAATTGTTTAAGTTTGTTGCCATTAATCAGTCTACTTGTATGAACAGCTAACAGCTAAGGTCACACAGTAAAATTGTATTTGCGTATTTGACGACTTTTCGAATGTTAGAGTATGGCTACAAACATTCCATATATGACATAATCCGAGCTGCATATGTCTCGTATACTGAAGACGAAATATAGTTTAACGTTACAAATGTAATTAAATTGTATTGTACAAATCCCAACGTGCGTTA